AAAAGGATGCCTGTAGGATAGAAATTTTTGTCAGTCTAATATTACTACTTAGCAATGGATTATTTGCAGTTTTCAGCATCCAAATAAATGACCCACTTATTTCACTAAGCATTATAATTTCTAGAGCTATCATGTTGTTGCAAATTGCAAGATTTCATTCTTTTTTATGAATGAGAAATATATGTGTGTGTGTGTGTGTGTGTGTGTAATGGATGGATGCTTGGGCTGCTTATATAATTTGGCTATTGAAAAAAAAATGTGTAATAAACATAAGGGTGCATATATCTTTTCAAATTAGTGTCCACTGTTCAAATTAGTGGAAACTACTGGGTAAATACCCAGTAGTGGAATTACTGGATCATATGGTATTATATTTTTTAGTATTTAGTAATTGACGAAACTCTATATTGTTTTTCACTCTGGCTGCACCAATTTACATTCCTGCTGAAAAACATGAGATTTCCTTTTTCTTCGCATCCTAGCCAACACTTGATTCCTCTGTGTGTGTGTGTTTTAGCCATTCTGATAAGTGTGTAGTTTTAATTTACATTTCCCTGAGGATGACTGATGTTGATCGTCTTTTCATGGTGCCTGTTGACCATCTGTACATCTTCTTTGGAGAAATGTTTTTCATGTCTCTGTCAAACACCCTGTCTGTTAATTGGAGCATTTAGTTCACTTAGATTCAAAGTAATTATCAGTAGATATGTACTTATTGTAATTTTATTTCTGGTTTTGTGGTTGTTTTGTAATTCTTCCTTGTCCTTTATGTTTGCCTTGCTATTGTCTGTTGTGGTTTAATGGCTTTCTTTAGTGATGTGCTTGGAATCCTTTAAATTTTTTATGTATCTGTTATAGGTTTTTTATTTTTATTTACCATTATGTTCATATATAACATCTTATGATGATAGCAGTCAATGCTATGTTGATGGTCACTTAAGTTTGGACTCATTTTAAAAGCATTAAATGTTTACTCCCTTCCCCATCTTTTATGAATATAATCTCATAGTTTATATTCTTTATTTTGTGCATCCTTGACTGATTTTGTATTTATAATTGATTTTACTGTCTTTGTGCTTTAACCACCTACTGATTTTATAATCATTAGTCTACTACTGGTTTTTATATGTCTACATTACTTTTTAAATATTTTCCTTTTATAATACTCTTACTCCTGGTTATGGTCTTTTCTTTCTACTTAAATAATGCACATTAATATTTTTTTGTAATTCTGGTTTAGTGGTGATAAACCCCTTTAACTTTTGTTTGTCTGTGGAACTTTATGTCCCCTTCTACTCTCAATAATGACCTTGCTGGGACTTCTTGGATGCAAGTTTTTTCTTTTATTCTTTTCTTTGGGTGGGGCAGCACTTTGAACCTATATGCCACATTCTTTTTGCTATAAAATTTTTGTTAAAAGATCAGTTGATAACCTTATGGGTTTTCCCTTGTTTGTAGCTTTTCTCTGTTCTTTTAGAGTTCTCTATCACTACTTTTTAAAAAAGGTTTTATTTATGTATTTATTTGTCAGAGACAGAGAGCACAAGCAAGGGGAGTGGCAAGCAGAGGGAGAATCCCAGAGCCAAATGTGGGGTTCAAGCCCAGGACCCTGGGATCACGACCTGACCTGAAGGAAGATACTTATCCAACTAGACACCCAGGTGTCCTCTATCACTACTCTTTACTAGTTTAATTGTTACATGTCCTGGTGTGGGCTTCCTTGGGTTGATTTTGTTGGAGGCTCTCTGTGCCTCCTGGATGTGTGTATCTGTTTCCTTCTTCAGGTTAGGGAAACTTTCAGCTATTATTTATTTAAATAAATTTTTTGCCCCCATATCTCTGTCTTCTCTTTCTGGAATGCTAATGTTATTAGGTTTGATGATGTCGCCTAGCTCCTTTATTTTTTATTTTTTTAGTATTTTTTTTTCCTATTTGCTGTTCAGCTTTATTACTTTCCATTACACTGCTTTCCAGATCACCAATCTGCTCTTTTGTTTCCTCTAATGTTTTTGTTGATTCCCTTTAATGTATTTTTTTAAATTTCAGTTATCATATTCTTCATTTCTAGTTCATTTTCATATACTATACTCTTATTGAAGATTTCACTAAGATTCTCCACTCTTAAGTGAATGAGTACATTTCTGACCATTACTTTGAATTATTTATGAGGTATATCCTATTTCATTTTGCTCTTTTGCTGTGGCTTTGCCCTGTTCTTTTATTTGAGACATATTCTTGTTTCTTCATTTTGTCTAACTCTCTCTTTCTGTGTATTAGGAAAGTCAGCTATGTTCCAGATCTTGAAAATAGTGGCCTTATAAACAATAAATCCTGTGGTGCCCTGTCATACAACGTCCCCTATTCACCAGACTAACCACTTGAGGTGTCTACTATGTAGGTTGTATGTGCCTAACTCTTGTGGCTGAGCCATGTTTATTTTCAGTCCAGTTGGCTGCAATAGCCTGACACACTAAGCAGTGTTTGGTTCCTGTTCTGATAATGGGCCTGTCTGGAGCCACCATGGGCTTGTAGTTGCCATATCATCTGTCAGAGCTGCTGTCTGCCTCAGCCTGTTTGCTGGGACTGCAGTCACACTGAACTGCAGGGCACTCTCACTATGCTGCCCCCTAAGAGACTTTTGTTGCTGGGCTAATTAGACCAGATGCTATTGGGACCCATCTATTGGGACTGCATTCACACCATCTTGCAGATTGCCTTTCCTCATATTGTGCCCTGAAAGTCTTTCATTGCTGGGTGGGACCAGTCAGACCAGATGCCTGCCCCCAGTTCATCCACCAGGGCTGCAGTTGCACTGATAAGCAGTATGTTCTCTTTGTGCTTCCAGCTATAAGATTCAGCTGCTTGGACTGCTGGTACACTGGTCTGATTATCTTTTCCTCTCCCCAGAGCAGGAGTCCCTTCCAAATGGTGCTGGTCCCTGTTGGGGTTGCTTCCAGGGTATGTTGTGGTAGTAGTTACTTTGGAGGAAGGCCTACAGAGTGGGGTGGGTTGAATGGAGTGCATATACAGGGGAGAATGTGGGTAAGGTGCATGGTGTTAGCAAGGTAGGTGGAAAGCATTCCCATTGATCCTCAGAAATATCTGGCTATCTAGAATATGATGTCTTCTTGTTCTTGGAGAAGTATTTGTTTACTGGAGATTAGTAAATAAATCTCCTCTTATGTATTCCAGGCACTTTTCAACCTGCTTCTTCCATGCTGTATCTCAGCAGGGCTATTTAAGGGTGGAGACTCAGTTTTCTATTGTCCTCTAGCTCTCCTGGAGCTAAGTCCACTGTTTTTTTTTTTTTTTTTTTTAAGTTCCTAGAGTTAAGGACCACTGATTGCAGAAACTCATAAATTTAAGCCCCACTTGTAATTAAGGCCCAATATCATGGGTGCTGGTCTTAGTGTAGGTCCCCCATACCTGGAGTGCCTGGTGTGGAAGTATTATCTGCTTGTTTTGTTAGGTCTGTAATCAAAGGAGTGAGACTGATACAAAGTGAAGGTCAAGCAAAGCTTTATTTTGCACCAAGCATCAAGAATCAAACTGACCCGCCGGGGCCATCTCTTACAAAGAGGCGAACCCTTCCAGCCTCACAGACTAACTTTTATAGAGCAAAGGCCATGTGGTTGAGCCTGGCTACACACAGGTGGTCAATGAGATTGCAACACACAGAGAAAACTGCACAGTCATGCTAGGTCACACACGGGTGGCCAATTGAATTTCAATTTAAAGTAGTATTTGAAGTAGTAGTTCAAATAAAGTAGATATTTGATATCAAATAAAGTAGATATTTGAACTAGCCTATCACCTTGGTCAGAATTGGTGCCCAAAAGGCAGGGCCCACTCTCCTTGGTAGCTAGGGAGACAGTATGCATGCCCCACTGATTGGATGTCTCCACCTGGCCTGACCCACCCTTGTATCTGGGCTTTGCTACTTGGGACTGGTTTCCCGGACTTGCTTTTAAGTAAGTGCCTCTGGGAGGGGCAGAGTCAATCTAAGTTTACTGCATAAACAACAAAATGGTTCCCTCTGGCTAAGTAGGCCCTTACAGTTTCACCATACTTTTGGTGCCCCCTTTGTTTGTGGTTAGTCTTGCCAGGTACTTATTTCCCAATGTATCTGCCCTTCCTCCCTTTTCTGATATGATCTTTTCTTGATAACTAACTATGGAAAATCTGTTTTTCCAGCTTCTAGGTCCTTTCAGAATTAGTTACATTAATGTGTCTATTATCTCAGTGTATTTGTGGAGTGAGGTGATCTCAGGATCTTCCTACACTGCCATCTTCCCATAACTCCCAATATGCCTGAATTTTAAGACCAAACATTCTTGACAATCCTTCAGCAGAGTTAACTAGTAATAGATTAAATTAACTAGTATGTTGTAAACAAAGTTGTATGCACAAAATTTACTTTTTTATTTGTTTGTTTTTACTAATCTTTTAACAGAATCCTCTGATTCACCACTGGAGAAAAAGACAGTGGGTAACTAAATATGGCACATTTTTTTTTTCATTTTTTAATGACTTTCAACTTCCCCTCTCAGGAAGGTCAGTATCAAAACCTATTGATTCTTGGAACTCTTACCACAATTTACAAACAAGGATTACTAATACCTGAAAAAAATCAAAGTTTAAGTAAAAATCAGGTTAACAAGGGTCTTATACTTTAAAAGTTTATTGAGCAGATTACACCTCAAAAGTGAAATGGAAAATTATGAGTGGAAATATTTGGCATTTGAAATTTGGGGAACTGTGTTGGAATTGGCTATTAGGTCATATATCTATGGATGTACATTGCCCTAGGAAGGTTCCACCATCTCCATGTCTTTAAACCTTATAAGCAAAAAGATATAGAATACTCTATGTATTTTTGTCAATTTATATGGCTTAACCCAAACCACAGAGATGTCATGTTCCAAAGATGCAGAAACAATACCCTGGAGGTCAGTATTTTGTATATCTTTATTAGTGTAAAATTATGAAGCATGAGATTTCTAGTGGGGAAGCACAAGTTCATAATCATGCTCGAGGGTACAGGAAGAAGGCCTAGTAACACAAGTCATCTTAACAAGGGCATATTCTGTTTCTGACCCATTTCTAAATGGTTTCACTCTTTTTGTGGTAGAGTCAATATTCTCATAACCATCATCATTGGAGCTCAGGGAGGGCCTCCGACAAGGTCTGTGACTAATGATGGAGTAGCACAGTTCCTCAGAACCATTCTCATTTTCCTGCCAAGCACAAAAATAATATTAATAATAATAAATCAAGGATCTAGGACCATCCATCAAATTTGAATTAAGTGACTGCTCCTCCTTTCTTCTTGTTTGACAGTGATTTTACATATCGAGTGTCCAAAACCCTTTCTCCAAATCCTGATATCTTACAGACTTCATTTTAGCAAATGTGTACTGTGCTCCAAGCTACAAATATTTTTGTTATGATAGTTTTGAAAATTAAAATAATAAACTACAGTAGAATAGGGTCAACAATAAGAATTTACTCGTCACTAAAATCAGTCAAAATACTGTTTTTTAAAAATTTTCTCTATTTCTCCATTAAAATTATAAAGAAAATTATTTAAAGAATAAAATACTTTGATAAGCTCATTCAGAAATTAAAAGAAATCCTGCAGCTATCCTTAAATTAAATCATCTATATTTTGACATTTATCACATAAATTAGTTTTTTATTACCTGATTAGAAGTAGATGAAACATCTTTACCTGAAGGATTTAAAAAAAAAAAAAAAAAACTAAGTTTTTGTTTGTTTGTTTGTTCTTATTTTTTTACTATCACAAGCTGAGGAAAAAGGGGAAAAGGATAAAATACAGTGATAAAACTACAAGGAAGTCCACCATTTAAGCATGTGACATCTCATATTATTATTGATGTTCTCAAGCTGAATGACAAAATCAGGAAAGAAGATATGTGAATATATGTAAATATATGTTCAGGAAGCATTAATGTCATGTTTCTGTGTAATTTGCTAAAATAAAGTAAATTTGCCAAATAAAAGCAGATTTCAGAATTGAGTAATGAAATTTTCTTCATAAACATGTCATGACTATAAAGTATGGCAAGTTCAAAGGAAGAACAATTACATATGTAATTTAAGATATAAATTATATAAAGCTATCATAGGAAAGTCTTAATTCTTAAAGACAATCATTACAGAGGTAGATACTGAAGTAAAAAGATTAACTATTTCAAATTAAATACAAATATAAAGATTCAGGTTAATAGCATCTATAAGTGCTAAAGTAATTTATAGTTTTGTTGTTAATCTGAAATACACAACTAGTAATTTTTAGATAATTATTTATTTGTTCATATCCATTGTTTAAAGTTTATTTTTGTTTTCATTTCCCTTGCCTCAGGAGACATACCTAGAAAGAAGCTGCTATGGAAAATGTCAAAGAGGATAGAAAACTTAGAAGGCATATATGGAATCATAGAAGATATTTGCAAATGACATATTTGATAAAGGGTTAATATTTAAAATATATGAAAAACTTATAAGACTCAAAAACAAAATAAAAATACTAATCTAATTACAAATGGGCAGAAGATATGAACAGAAATTTTTCCAAAGAAGACATGTAGATGGTCAACAGACACATGAAAAGATGCTCAACATCGCTCATCTTTAGCAAAAAGCAAATAAATACTACAGTGAAATATCACCTCACACTAGTCAGAATGGCTAAAATCAACAACACAAGAAACAAAAGGTGTTAGTGAGGATGTCGAGAAAAGGGAACCTTCTCTCACTGTTGGTGGGAATGCAATCTGGTGCTGCCATTGTGGAAAACAGTCTGGAGGTTCCTCAAAAAGTTAGTCTTCATTTTAAAGAATAAATAAAGTGTAAATATTGTTACTCTGGCTTTCTTCTGACATGCATTTGCATGATAAATGTTTTCCAACCCCTCACTTTCAATTTCCAGGTATCTTTAGGTCTAAGATGAGTACCTTACAGGCAGCATATAAATAGGTCTTTTGTTTTGGTTTGTTTTCTCACTTTTAGAAACTATTTTCTGTCAACCTTATTTCAATTTTGGCTTTGTGGAGGAGCAGCTTAATACCACCAAGTGTTCATACCCATTCAGTGGCCTGAGCAGTGGGAGGTGCACACCAGTCTTCAGTGACAGGCTGAGTGCTCTAGTCTTCAGTAGGGAACTGTTGAACAGGAACAGTGGGCACCTGCATGCCTTCAGACCACTTTGGGACCTCAGGATGAGTAGTGATGAACTCAGCAACTGGAGCAGTGTGTTTAACCCTGAAATTCCTATTTGGTCACAGCCTTTTCAGCAGTGGCCTGATCTTTCTTTTCAACCTCTTCAGAGTCTCTGTAAAAGTAAAGATCAGGCATGAGCTTCCATGGTGTTCATGGGAAATGGTGCCACACGTGTGCAGAACTTCGCCAGGGCCAACATCCCCCACATCAACCCACCTGTTGAGTGAGCTCCACTGTTGTTGTAAGGGATGGCAATGCCCACATATCACAGAGGAGAGTCTGTGTTACACAGGCCAGGTAACATAAGGTACCTCTGTGAGGGGCTTGGTCAGCCCTGGGATCTATAACCATCAGAAGTCTCAGCTCCCAGAAGGCTATCTGGATCTGGTTAGTGAAAGTTCCAGGAGTGAAGCCACCAGAAATAGAAGTGGCTCTGGTAGCAGCAGCAAACTTCAGCATAGCTCACTGGCCAGTATTCCTGGATGTTAAGACACTGACATCAGCTGGGTTTTCAATGGCAAAATAGGCATGAGCTGCCAGCAGAAGCCTCTTCCATGTTCTCCTCAGATTCATGATGTAGATGTCATCACTTCTCCTTTTGTAGATGTACTGTTGCATTTGGAAATCAAGGTTGGTTCCACATAAAAGTGTTCCTGTTACAAGGAATTTGAGGACATCTTCTCCATTTATTTTCAGACATCAAGGGCTCTGGACTTTGTGAAATTTTCCTTGTAAGTTATGGTGGGAACACAACCAATGCCGTAAGGACCCCTCCCTGGGTACAGTGGAAAGGGATGGGCCTTGTTTTTTGTTTTTGTTTTTGTTGTTGTCATTTTGTTCTTTCTTAATATTCCAAAACCTATGTCTTTTGATTGGAGCATTTAGTCCATTTGCATTCAAAGTAATTAATCAAAGTAATTAGTGATAGATATGTATTTAGTCCCATTTATTACTTGTTTTGTGGTTGTTTCTGGAAACTTTCTCTGATCATTTCTTGTTTTCTATTTTTTAGGCTTTGCTGATGTTCTTTAGTGATATATTTGGATTTCTTTCTCTTCATCCTTTGCATGTTCATTAGTTGTCTTTGATATATGGTTGGTATTACATTTGTATACAATCTTTTCTGCAAATAGCAGTCTATATTTAGCTGATTGTCATTCAAGTTTGAATCCATTCTTTTCTTATTTACCCCACACATTTGAAGTATATATTATATTTTCTATCTGTTTTTGTTTTTTTTTTTTTTTTTTTTTTTGGTGTATGTTCCTTAGCTGATTTTTACAGAAACATTTATTTTTACTGCTTCTGTTTCCTGTCTTTATATTGTCACTTCTGATCTTTCCTTTCCACTAAAAGCGTCCTCTTTAATATTTCTTGCAGGACTGGTTTAGTGGTTATGAGCACCTTTCATATTTGTTTGGGAAACTATCTCCTCTTCCATTCTGAATAATAACTTTGTTGTACAGAATATTCTTGGCTGCATATTTTTCCCATTTAACACATTGAATATATCATGGCACTTGCTTATGTCTTGCCAAGTTTCTGTTGAGAAATATAAAGCTAGACTTATGGGTCTTCCCTTGCAAACTAAGGACTTCTGTCTTGTTGCTTTTAAGATTTTTTTTCTTTGTTGTTATATTTTGCAAATTTAATTACAATATGTGCTAGTATTGTTCTGCTGCTTTTGTTGATTTTGAAGGGAGTTCTCTGTGCCTCCTGGATCTGGACATCTGTTTCCTTCCCCAGATTAGGGAAGTTTTCAACTATTATTTCCACAAATAAACTTTCTTTGTCCTCTTCTCTCTCTCTCTTTTTCTTTTGTAAGATTTTATTTATTTATTTGAAAGAAAGTGAGAGAAAGAGCATGAGCTGGGGGAGGGGCAAAGGGAGAAGTAGTCTCCCCGCTGAGCAAGGAACCTGATGCGGGGCTCAATCCCAGGACTCTGGGATCATGACCTGAGCTGAAAGCAGTTGCTTAACCAACTGAACCACCCCGGTGGTCACCCTTTTTCTCTCTTTTCTTCTGGGACTCCTGTAAGACAAATAATATGTTTGATAGAGTCACTGAGTTCCCTAGGTCTATTCTCCTTCTGCATAATTCTTCCTCCTCTCTTTTGTTCAGTTTCATTGCTTTCCACTACTTTGTCTTAGAGGCCATTAATTTATTCCTTTGCTTCCTCTAAGCTGCTGGTCATTGAATCAGGTTTGTTTTTAATCTAATTTATTGTGCTCATCTTCTCTGACTGATTCATTTTAATGCCTTTTGTCTCTGTGGTAAGGGTCTCACTGATGTCTACTATTGTTTTCTCAACCCGATGTGTATCTGTATGATCATTGTCTTGGATCCTCTATCAGACATGTTGCTTATATCTATTTTACTTAGATCTCTGGATAAGTCCTCACATTGTTCTTTCCTTTGGGATAAATTCTTCTGTCTTTGCATTTTGTCTAGTTTTCTGTCTTCTTTTGTTTGTTAGAAAAGCCAGTTATGTCTCCTGCTCCTGAAAATAATGACCTTGAGAAGAAAAGGTCATGTAGCATCTGGAACTTCAGGAAATGTCTCTGGTGTGTGCTGTGTATGCTCTGCTATTCTGTTCTTGGCTGCTGTGTCCTATAGGCCAGTTGCCCGCAGAGGCTCTTCTTGCCTGTTGTGGGCAGTGTTTGGTCCCTGACTTGAATATGGTGAGTTTTAACTAGGTGCGCTCTAGTCTGCTTGTGTAATGAGACTTGACACCACCTCCACTGGAAGCGAGGCCCTGCAAAACTCTCTAGTTGGGACACATGGTGTAGGAAGGGTTTTGCTGGTCTTCTGGGGAAGGGCCCACTGTACTGGAACTGAAGCAACTGTGACTGAAAAGTGCAGTTACACCAGAGTACAGGTGTATGGGTCTTAGGGTAAGCAAGTTAAGCAGCCTGCATTGGGACTGCTCTGCTTCCCACAGATAGATCTGTATTTATGTTGAGGTGCAGAGGACAGAAATGGCACTGACATGCTCCATTTTTTCCAGAAGGGTATGTCCATGAATGCTGTTTCTCAGGGAAGTGCTAGGAGAGGAGCAAATAATCTCCCACCTGTGTGCCATAGGTGTTCTCCAGATTGCTGCTTCCATGCTGTCTCCTCCCCAGTTACTTGCCTGCCTTCTCTTCAGGAGCAGCACAGTGTCTGCCAGTCTCTATTCCAGCCTAGACCTGGCCTTTAAAACTCTAAGCTTTAGGCCATGCTGGTTGCAAGAACCTATGATATTCAGGCACTCCCATTTTCCAAGCCAATGGCTTTGGGGAAACATTCTTCTTGTAGGTTCCTCTATTTGATCCTCTCTCTCTCTTGCCCTTGTCTATGACCATGGCTCCCTCCCTTCCACAGCACCCATGATCTGTTTCTCCTCTAAACTACATCTTTGCACTTCCTATCTTCTTAAAGGTGGCTTCTTCCTTCCCTTTAGTTGTTGAATATGTCCCATCAATGTTCAAGTCTATTTCTGGGGCATT